AAGGAAAAGAGAAGAACCAGGCGGCGCCGAGAACAGAGACGCCGATGGCAACGGCGATTCCGATGGCGGAGAATGTGTACGGAGAGATCTGGACTAGGGCGCGCGACCATGAGCTGGAGTAACCCACCACTACTGCACCTGACATCTTCGAAAACCCTTCTTCTGCTTCTGGTTCTTCTTCTGGGTATTAGAGGGAGGGTTTCTGATCTGATTGGTGTGAGATATTGTGATACGAGAAGTTGAGGAGGAGAGGGAAGGAGATGTGTGTCACACGTGCTCTGTGCGCGCTTGTTTCTCTTCCAGTCACTTATGCTAACTGGGTTGTTATTTTGGGTCTGGATTTGAAAGCGAAGAGGACTTTTACAATTGGGCTTCTAAACAGCTACTTCATGGTTTTTGGGAAATTTCCTAGATGGTTCTTATTTTCTCATTTATTCTTTTACACTGATCTAAAATAAAAAATCAAAATTATAAGAATTTATCTTTAATAGGGGGTTTGAAAATTGAAGGAGGGTTTCATATCCACCATCGAATCAAACAAAGAAAGTTCTATAGTAGGGATTCATATCCCGTACGAACACATTTTCGAATTTTGAGTTGACATTCTCAATTTTGTAACGGTATAATTTAGATTTATGAGTGGTCGTTCTATTACTCCATTGTAATTATTTTGATAGTCTTTTATTACTTTTGAAATAACTATTATGATTGTCTTCAAAGACCCATCTACCATGTCATGTCATAATTTTACTTTTCCTTGTCAAAATTTATTCAACAAAAAAAAAAAAAAAATAGAGAGAGGCAACAAAAACAAAGTTCATTATGCAAAGGTAAACATGCCAAAAAGATATTAATTTTTTAACTGGATCATGAGAATCTCATTTCCCCCAATACACGATAGTTCGTTTTTTTTGGTTCCTTTAACTGGATCACGAGAATCTCATGTCTGGATTTGAAAGCGAAGGGGACTTTACAATTGGGCTTCTAAACAGCTACTTAATGGTTTTTGGGAAATTTCCTAGATGGTTCTTATTTTCTCATTTATTCTTTTTCACTGATCTCAAAAAAATAAAAATTAAAAGAATTTATCTTTAATAGGGGATTTGAAGGAGGGTTTCATATCCACCATCAAATCAAACAAGGAAAATTATATAGTAGGGATTCATATCTCATACGAACACGTTTTCGAATTTTGAATTGACATTCTCAATTTTGTAATGGTATAGTTTAGATTTGTGAGTTGCCGTTGTATGCTCCATTGTAAGAAAATGGTATGATTGTTTTTAAAGACCCATCTACCATGTCATGTCATAATTTTACTTTTCCTCGTCAAGGTTTCTTAAAAAAAAAAAATAGAGAGGCAACAAAAACAGAGTTCATTATGCAAAGGCAAACATGGCAAAATGATATTAATTTTTTAACTGGATCATGAGAATCTCATTTCCCCCAATACACGAGAGTTTGTTTTCTCTGGTTCCTTGGATGGACCCTTCAACCAACCTTCATCTCGAACTTGTAACCAATAAATAAGGGCCTTGATCATCATCAGAAATCCCAGCCAGATCCTAGAAATGGCCGAGATCATCACAATCATTTGCAAACGCACCGTAGTGAGCACAAAGCCAGTCCAAGCAGGAAAAAGCTACCCCCTATCTGTCCTTGACCGCCATATGGAACACAACCATCTTAGGATGGTCTTGTATTACCCATCAATGGGTGCCCCAACAAAGCCGGGTGAGATCACAGGGAGGCTCAGAGAGTCCCTCGCCGTCACACTTACACATTTCCCGATCGTTACGGGCCGGTTGCAGAAGAATGACAATGATCAGTGGATGATCAAGTGCAATGATGCTGGTGTGAGAATGCTGGAAGCTAAGGCAAAAGGGAGTTTGGAGGAGTGGCTAAGGAATGTGGATAGGGACAAGGAGCTTATGCTTGTTTATTGGGAGGAAATGTACCATAAGCCTTACTTTTGGTCAACATTTTATGTTCAGGTTGATATTATATAATTATATTCACATCCCGACAACATAACATTTTCGCTCGTAATATTAGTAGTGTCTTTATTTTTTGTGTGTGTGCAGATTACTGAATTTGAGGATGGTGGATTGGCAATTGGGCTAAGTTGCACTCATCTCCTTGCAGATCCTACTTGTGCCACCATGTTCATCAAGGCTTGGGCCGACACATCCTTTTTGGGCAAAATGATGAGTCCTCTGTTTTTCTATCAGTTGCCGCCGCGGAGACCCGGCAACACAAGGCCCAACTACGAGCCCTATAATTCATTGATCAACCACTACAAAGCCTCCATCAATAAGTCCATTGATCTTGTAGACAAAAAGCACACAACTGTTAGTTTCAGTTTTTCGGACGACATGGTTCGGGCCTGCATGGAAATGGCCCAGCCCAATGGTGCAAATGACAAATTAAGCCCATCACCATTTGAGGCCCTGGCTGGGTTATTTTGGGTATGTATTAGCAAGGTCAAAGGAGTGAGAAATGGGCTTATTGACATGTCCATATCTTTGGATGCGAGAAAGGTTTTGGGTTTGGATAAAGGCTTCTTTGGAAATAGCACTGTTTATAACAAGGTTCATCTAGAGAGTTTCCAAGAAAATAGTCTATCACAAGCTGCAACTTCCATAGGTGAAGTTGTAGCAAAAATGGACAATAAGGGAATCATGGATTTGATCGAATGGCTTCGATGCAACGATGACCAATCTCCTTCGTTGATGAACAATTGCGATCTCATTTGTGCTAGCTTAGAAGTTGTGGACCTGTTTTTAGCAATTTTTGAAGATGGAATTGCACCGATTCATGTTTCATGTTATATCGAGCCGGTGCTAGGATTAGGGAAAGTCTTGATCCTTCCAGCAAAACCCAGAGATGGTCAACTAAGTAGGGTAGTAATGGTTACACTTCCACGTGATGAGGTAACCAAGCTATGTCAAACCGATCTTATTTTACAACTCTCTCCAACCATCTTGATGGATTTGAACAAAACCTAGCTGGGCTTCTAAGTACAATACAAGGGTTGCACTATATCCCAACAAAAATTGAGTTTCGAAGCCAATGGTCAGAATTTAATTTAGTACTATTTATGAGAGCATCAAATGTATACAAATGGGTGTGACAAGCCGTCCAGTTATATATGTAACGTTTATTTTCTTCAATTCTTGTTTTGATTTTGTACCCTTGATTGATAGGAGGCTTGTATTCATCATGGTGGTGACAAGCGTCCAA